GGCCGCAGTGTCGGTGAGCCAGGAGCAGCCCCCGCCGGTGCCCAGGGCCCCGGACGCCGCAGACGAGAGATCGTCGTCGCAGAGCCCCCAGCCGGGCAAGGAGCGCCTGCGTTTCCAGGTGAGTTCCGAGTCGGCCGGGGGACGGGCCTGGGGAGCCCTGGGGCTGTGCGTTCTCCAGGCTCCCGTCTCCCTCTCGCCCTGCGGCTGCTCGCGACTGGCGGAGGCGCCGCGCCCCCTTAGGCAGGCACCCGTCTATGTGCCTTTCCGCACCTGCCGGTATCTTTCTCCGTCGGAATTAAATCGAGTGTAGCTTGATTGTTGCTGCGATGGTAAGGCACCGGCCCCGCGTGGGTGGCCAAGGAGACGCCCTTTTGACGTTCTTACTGTGAGTGGAGTGTATTTACTCTACAAAGCCCTGGCCGCTGGCGAGTAGTCTTGTGTGGATCCGGCATGTGGATGATCTAGGATGCGGCTCAGAAGATTAGAAGGTGAATTTACTGGCAAGGAGAGTCGAGTCCCAAGGATTACATTCACATTTTCAAATTCAATGTGTTAAAAGCTGAAACAGCCTCCTGCTGGGGTCCTGGTCAGAATCCTTCCTTGCTCTTTAAGAAGCACCCCTGTTCAGAAATCTGAGTATGGCTGAAACATTTGCGCTACCTTGCGCTGCTTCCCAAGAGCGGCAGGCTTGGAGAGCCCCTGGCACTTGCCTGAACCCTAAAGGGCTGGAGCACACAGAGGGGGTTGTAACCGAGGGAAGTGGAAAGGCATGAGAGGTAGCAAGAGGTCTGGAGGAGTCCTTCCGGGTCTCTTCCAGGGACCCCAGGGCTGTTTAGTGGGGGTGGGGGAAGCAAAGGAAGAGTGAGTCAAGAAGTTTATACACTAGCTGTGCCTGCTGCAAACCATGTGCGATCTTAAGTCTTAACTTTGCTCACCTGTGAAACTGCACTGTCTTCTCCAAAGTTCCTAACAATTCTAAAGGCCTAACCCCTGCCCCCGCACCAAGACTTGATTATAACTTCTTACTGAGAGGGAAGAAAAACTTAAGGATAAGGCGATGCTACTTTTGTTCACAGTAAGTATGAATTATTGGCTTAGTTTCCTAACACCACTGTTTGGTGGAAACTTAATTAGCAGTGTAGAGAACTTTCTTCAAGGTGCTCACCCAAGATTATTTTAGGATGCTGAGTTTTATTCTCTTTCGTCTGTTTAACCACTGCATTCGTGTATGTCCTACAGAGGCAAGCCCTCCCTAAAGAATCCAAGGTTCAGGAGCCCTGGATGTTTGGCTTTCCTCCGCCTGTCTGAGCGAAAACACCCACTTAGTAAACTATTGATGTGCTTTGTGAACCAAGTTAATCTGGCTCATAGACTTTCGTGGGCCCATGCTCTTCTGCTTGATTAAGCCATTAGCTTCCCTAATTATTACATCGGGGAGGCTGACTTGAACTTGATTCTGCTTTCCTCTGATCTGGAGTGGAGCTGCCAGTTTTAACTATCAAAGAGGTCTCCCCAGGCTTCTGAAGTGAAGGGTAACTCAGACGTCATGTTGGTGAAACTGCTATCCTTTTGCTCAGTTCTTAGAGCAGAAATATGGCTACTATCACTGCAAGGACTGCAACATCCGATGGGAAAGTGCCTACGTGTGGTGTGTGCAGGGCACTAACAAGGTAAGAAACACCACACAACTGGTGTCGTCGGGACGGAAAGGTTCCGGGGCTTTGGCTTGAAGTTCTTCGTCTCTCCCGTCACAGGTTTACTACAAGCAGTTCTGCAGAACATGTCAGAAGTCTTATAACCCTTACCGAGTGGAGGATATCGTGTGTCAAGTAAATCAAGTGTTTTTGCATTTTGTGTCTGAACTGGATAGTGGTCGGAAGGTTTGGGGGGGTAGGGTAGTTTCTTACAATGTATTTCCTAAAAGAGCCTAGGTTCCCCGTGACCTGAGGGTTTGACTGCTTTCTGGTAGAAGCTGTAGAAATAATGCTCAACTGGGAAATAGGGCTTTGGTGTTAGCGTCCTCCTGCCCTTGCAGACCTTGGACATGTTAACATCTCTAGGGACTGTTACCTCACTTGCAATATGGAAAAACATTCGCTTTACCTGCAACTCAGTCTAGTGTAGGAGAAAGCAAACTGAAAAACAGAATACCTTTCTGCTAACATTTGATGGCAAAGGTTGACATTTTACCCAAATGCATTTTGTGAAGCACACACTCGAGTTAGAGTATTTAGTAAAATCACAGGTTTTTTAAAGTTTCCATTTCTGCCTGAGAGTTCAGAAAGGGCTTTGCTTTAAAGTAAACTTAAGTTGCCCAACTTGATGGGGTTAACTGGCAACATGTTGCTTGTTACTGTTAACTAAGCACTGCATTTGTGATAAAGGGCTTAGAGAATTGAAGGGGGAAGAAAGGATTGAACTGGCCGCACAGCTAGTGGAGCCTGACCTGCCAGATGAGACAGCCTAATTGATGCACTTAAGGTGGACGCTGGCTGCGTGACCACTGCAGGGAGTTGGGTGGAGAGAAACCAAGTATGGCAAACTTAGACTAAGCTAGACCTGGGGTAAGTTCAAAGTGAGATGCCCTGAGCACTCTGCTCTTGGCCCAGCAGGTGCTGCTCTGCCTTGTGCCTCAGCTTTGAGGTCCTTTGCAGCAGGTGGAGGCCCAAGATCAGCCACTGATGTCAGTTCTGGTAGTTCTAGCCTCGCACTTTAGTGTCAAACTCCTCTCTCTCCTGCTTGCTCGTTCTCCACCCTTCGAGTGTAGGAAAAGATTTCCTCTTAAACTGCTTCGAAAGAAACTTCACAGTTCAGAATTGAAGCCTAGGCAACGTGGGAGCAGAACTGCGTGGTTAAATGCTCTGTTCCTTCTGACCCTGTCGTTGCTGGGGAGAGATGTGGACAGAACAGGATGAGCACAGGACCTTGCTTGGAGTGCATTCAGTTAGTATTTGAATGCACTAGAAAGTGAACGTGTAAGTGCCAGGACATTGCCAAGGGTTTATCTTCTGTATGTACTTCTCACTTTGTTTTTTTTTTTCCTCCAGAATTGTAAACAGACTAGATGCTCCTGCCCGGTAAAACTGCGCCACGTGGACCCCAAAAGGCCCCATCGTCAAGACCTGTGTGGGAGATGCAAAGGCAAACGCCTATCCTGCGACAGCACTTTCAGTTTCAAATACATAATTTAAATGAATGTGAAAAAACCAAAACCCTGGTCCTGCTGAACGTGTGCTCGTGGAGCAGACAAGTGAGCTTTTTTCCATGCCCCTTCTCCTTCCTGCCTCTCCCGCCTCAAATTACTTCATGAAAGGCTGTATTTGACAAAGCTGTCAAATAAAAGCATTGCAAAGTAATTGATACATTGTGTAATATCCTTAAAATTTAGGAAAGCTTGTGTTAACAGTCTGGGCCTGTTGCTTTAATATTGTCCATTGCAGATGGAAGCGGCCAGGCTCTGAACTAGGTTGGTCACTTGAGAGTTTGAGGGGTTCACAGATGTGAGGTTTACTGCTTAGGGTCTGTAGTGCTGATACTTATAAGAAATTGACTAAAAAGCCATTAATTCAAATAAGCATTCTTCTGGGGGAGGAGGCGGTGGAGCCAGGCCTTGCGGGGAGAGGGTAACCCAGAGTCAGAACCTGGAGTGTCTGGGAGCATCGGTGCTTACAGGTGACCTCAGTTTAGTGGCAACAAACTACTGTGGGAGAAAAGCTGTGAGAGCTGGTAACTTGCTAATCACAATGTCACAGATGTGGAGCAGGTGCCAGTTGGAACAGGGTGGCTAAAGGCAGCTTGAAGATGTTAACTGACAAATGGCCAGCTGAAGTCCATTTGAAGTTAACTTAAAAAAATTCTCCTAAATGTATTTTAAGTTAGAGACAGCTTTAGTCTTACTTGTTATGGACTTGCAGCTCTGTAGGTGGAAATGGTATCTGGCGCCATCTAACAGGGGGATTCTCATCCTACTGCACCTTATAGCTTCCTACTGGATTACCAGGAAAACACTGCAGCCCTGCACCAGAGCGCTCCTGGTGTGTGGGGCTGGGGGAGTGACACGAAGGATTCTAATGAAATCAAGAGTTGAGGGCTGTTGGTTTCCTGGTTACAGAAACCACATAATTGGAACCAGGTGCTAATTATTCTGCCTTCCAATTTTCTAACCATCCCACTTAAGTTGACTCTTATTCCCTTAGGCCATATGTAGTAAGTCTGTTAACATCTTGGATGCTTGTATGTAGACAAATACACAGAATAAAAGAAACTAAAATGAGTTAAAAGTCTTCAGAACCCTTATAGCAAGGGGACGGGCCTGTGTAACCATATGGACCTAGAAAGATGTCTATAAAAATGCAGATCTTAGGCCCCTATCCCTACTGAATCACTATCTGGATGAGGTGAAGCATTTAATAAGCATCCAGGAGTTGCTTATGGAATTGAGTGTGAAAACCACAATTGAGTCAGCCTTGCACTTACCGCAGAGAAACATGGATTTGGCCTCTGCCAGGATAAAATTCCATGTAGTGGGAATGTAATTCTTGCATAAGAGTTCTGCCATGTGGTATGGAAGAGCTACTTAGTAACTGCCTGGTAGGGGAAAAAAAATCTGACTTGGGAGGTCAGGAAAGTCTTGCCTAAAAACTGACATCTCAGCTGAGCTGAAGTTCAAATGAGTTGAATTAGATGAAGAGGGGAGGGAGAAAGAACTTCCCCAGACTAAGCCAACATTTGCAAAGGCCCAGTGGTAGAAAACCCTGGAAGACAGGGATGGGCATGATGGCAGGCACAGCTGGTAGACCCCAGGTCGGGAGGACTTTAGGGCCTTGTTCTGGAGGACTGGTCTTCATGTATCACCAGTGAGGATCCACTGAAAGGTTTTAAAGCTGTGGTGGGGCATGGGGACAAACAGATTCACCTTGATAATCTATTGCTTTATTAAAAAAAATTTTAATGGAGGTAGTGGGGATTGAACCCAGGACCTGGTGCATGCTCAGCACATGCTCTACCATTGAGCTATATCCTCACCCCCAGATTCACCTTTAAGTAATCACTGAGTACAGCAGATGCCTGTAAACCAGTCAGGAGTCTGGCAAAGATCAGATAAGGTGGTGGTGGGGCCAAATGGAAATGAAGGACAATAACTCCAGGTGTGGGTGAAGGTGGTGGGTTTTGCTCTAACACTTAACTACTGACGTGGTTGAGGGTGTGTATGGGGTAGGAAACTGAGCAGACAACGTGGCATGCAAGTGGTACATAATATATGCACCCTGAGCATTTGCTGAACAAATGAGAGACAATATAAACATACCTGCAATGAGTCCTAAGACAAATTCAGTGGTTATTAACACAGCTGTTAAAATAGCTACTAATCACTCTTAAAACTTAATATTGTTTGCCATTGATTTTCCTAATAGAGCAGCTAACTCTGTTTTACAGTTGAGGAAAGCAAGGATCAAGGTGTGTTTTAGAGTTAATGACCATTCAGACATTGAACAAAGTGGTACAAAAACTCAAGGATTATGGTGAAGACAGTCTTTGCAATAAGGCACTGTCAAACTGCTTACTGGAAATTTATAAAAAGTGATTTTGAGCGAGAGAGGCTAGAAGGAAATACCCTGGAGTACTGACCTCTCTGCCTGTCAAGAGACGTGATTCTAGTTTTCTTCATGTTTCTTACACTTGCTTAACTGACAGTGGATTGATTACTTTGGAAATTTAAAAGTAAGAATATGCCATAAAGTACAATCATAATGACACTGGTTTTTATTTCCTTTCGTGCAGGTAATCTGGTGTCTGAGCAGCTCTCACAGACCTAAAGGCGGGAGGCTCACTCCGGCTTTGGTGAGTCTGTTCCAAGCGAACCTGTGACGGTTTCCTAAATTTAAGGTAGACTCGGGGAACAGGGCGGGGGGGGGGGGTACCACATCCTCCATCTTACATCACTAAAAGTAGAAAGCGTGTTATAAATTGAGTAAAAATCTTTGGCTTTGTACTTCAGAAGCAGCATGGAGAAACTGCCAGATCTCTTGCTGTTATTTCGCAAACTTACTATTTAAAAATAATAAATTTAGTGGGGAAAAGAAAAAGGTTGTATGAGCAAAAACTGGGCTCTGCTTGAACTGAGGTGTTCCATAACTTAAGAATTTGATATATTTTGTTAATAAATGCAGAATCTGGGTCTAGAGGACGAGGAGCAAAATGGTGTACATTTTAAGAAAATCCGCTTGCAAAAGGACAATCCTAATGACTTTACATCTGCATCTTGCTTTCTGCCACTGTATTCATTTCTATTACATTATTAATAGGCTTAGTTACATATAAATAGGAAAAGGAAATTTCAACTGTTTGGAAGGTTTGTTTTGGGTAATTAGTCAATTGAACTTAATCTGTTCTCCCTTCTTGAAGGAAAATTATTTTTATGAATAATGAAAGCAATGTTTGAGGAGTTCCTTAATTATGCACACTACAGTCATTCATCCTTTCTTAAAATACAACACAAACCAACAGCTACAATGCTTTTTATTTTAACAAAAAGGATATGAGGAGGGTGAGAAAAATAGGGGATGGTCAGATAGGATGTAAAGTGTGGCGTGTCTCTGGACACCACCCCTCTCTTCCTGCCCCGCACCCAAAAGTTATTAAATAATTTAAAGGACACCATTTACAGTACCAGAACACCATCAAAATAATTGTGTGTGTGTGTGTGTGTGTTTTTTATCAGGGTCAAAAAAATACAGTGATTATGAATGTGCTGTGACCAGTTACAGAGTTTTACAGGTAACATAACTCTAGTCAGCAGTCCCACGGCGTGCCAGTGCCCTCAGGTAATGCACTTGAGCATAATTCCATTTCTGGCAGGGTCCACACCCCCAAGAAAAGGCAAAGCTAAGCATTTCACGTCTACATTCTAAACTCTGGAATCCCAAAGCCCAGTTTAAAAGAAGAGTCACAGTGGATCAGAGATGCATATAAAAAATACAAGTTGTTCCTTTCAAATCGGAGGAATTGTGGGACTACATTCATTTCTTTTACAAAATGCTATTTTAAAAAAGGACAGAGAATCCAGTTCATGTTATGCTACAGACCTGGACAGTGACTCAGGATATTGCATGTTTTGGCAGTCTGTCTTCAGGCTTCTTTTTGTCTTCCCCCAGAGCCCCAAGTTCCTTTAGGGTGAAACACGTGAGTCCTGAATAAACTTATAAAAATGCATTTGCATCTCTCTTCTTGAATTCTGCAGACTTCAGGGCCTGCAAGTCATATATTCTACCATCAGTGACCACAATGTTTTTTTTAGCTTTGTACCCCTATTCTTGTATAACAGTGCATTGCACAAATGTACAAGAAAATACTGGTTTTAATCTATACAGTTTCTATAATAATTATGGAGTAAAATAAGTTAACTTTTCTAATGAGAAGAGCTGGCGGGCAGCATACATCTTTATTTTACATTTTAAAGTCTCTGCAGGCATCTACTTTGGTTAGTTATCAACAATCGTAACATAAGCACTGATCAGAGAACTGAGCAGCATTCCAATAACGTTAACAGATATATTATTTCTTTTCGAAAGACTGGGAAAGCCCAGTTTTAAAATATTATTAAAATGTTCTAACATTTACACACTATGAAGAGTTAGATCTAATAAAATAAAATTTTTTCAAAAATAATCTTGCAGTGCTCTTTTAGGCATGCTCTGAGACGTTATCACCAAACATCCATACCTTGAAAATATGACTGTCACATATTCACACACCTCAGCTCACACACATACACACACACACACATACAAATTCCTTATACAGACCAAAAAACAAAACACCCATGCCCTTATCCCACATGTTGAAAAATCAATGGTTTTTGCAAAGAAGTCTTTCTGTGTCTATCTATCCGACTGGATGTTCTTCATGTAGATGATTTAAGCATCAACTGTGGATTATGCTTGTGACTGCCAGACATCCAAGCGGCTTTGCAGGTCTTCAGCTAAAATGAACCAGCCTCGATTTCAGCCTCATTTCACCTGCTTTCCAATGTCTCAGTATTAGAGGCCATTATTGCAAACATTCTTAGAATTCTTTTCTTTTTCCAGAAAGTAATGTATTTGTACGCATCACTTTTAGCCCTTTTCTTTTCACGTAGGTAAAATAATTAAAAAATTTTCTTCATACAGTTATTGTGGGAGGTATTGGCAGCTGTTAAACAATTAGTTTTTTTTCCCCCTTCAGATCTCTGTTTTTGACATTAGTTACACTGTGGTTGTGGATGCTGCCAAAAAAAGTCATCAGTG